AGCTCTGGTGGTATTGTGGGTTACATGCTGGGCTGCTAACCACAAGGTAAGCAGTTTCATCCCACCAGCCACTATGAAAGAGAAAAATGAGGCTGTAGCCTCCAGTAAATATATGAATTATATCTCAATAAATCCATTTAAGATTAAAAAAAAAAAAAAAAACAAAGAACAGCCACATTTCATGGGGCGGGAAGATAAAAAAAAAAAAAAACAAAGAACAGCCACATTTCATGGGGCGGGAAGATTGAGGTATCCTGGATACAGCCTCTGTAAGAACATTCTCTGACACCCAAACAGGGAGGCCTGAATGTGAGAATTCCCTAGTATCATGTTTTGTCACTCCTAGTTATATGAATAAGGAACCTGCAAAGTCAGCATTTCCAGTCAACCAGTCACTTTGCAGGAGAAAGATGAGGCTTTCAGCTTCCATAAAGATTTACAGCCTCAGAAACCCTCCCTATACAGGGTCACTAGGAGTCAGAATCTACTCGGTGGCACACCACCAATACCCCCACAATTTATATTAGCAGTTGTTGCTATTAGTTGCCAGCTACTCAGTTCTAACTCTGGGCAATTCCACATGTGCAAAGTAGAATTGCTCTGCAAAATTTTGAAGGCTCTGGTCTTCCAGAAGCTGATCACCAAGTCTGTCTCCCAAGGTGCCACCAACATTTAAGTAAGTAGTAGCGTACTTAACTGTTTATACCAAACATAAACTAAAATTGAATTTTATTTTATTAAGTCTCACCTTAAGAGTTCTAGCTGTAGAACAGGCAACCTTCTCCTCTGGCTTATCCTAGAAGCGGCCTTCTGAAAATCAGAAGAGAACAACCAACTGCGATCATTTGAACATGGAGCATCAACTAACACCTAGAGAAAAAAGGACAAATAATGCAAACATGCAATGAAAACATATTCTTAAGCCAAAAGTACACAGGGAACTGTAGTACCAGTTCCCTTTCCCCTTTGTGAAGCCAGGGAAGTCAGACATAGTCCCCACATGATTTTTGCAGGAAGTTATATAAATATGAAAAATAAACCACAAAGAAATAAAATCATTTCCTTTAAAGACAAAAATATACTTATGTTTTTTAGTACATTTCCTTACTAACATTTTTAAGGAAAAAATTTCCTGTTTCCCTTCAATATTTGTTTTTTGTTTGTTTTTGGGTTTTTTGGTTTTTTTTTCGTGAGAAGGGAGTGTCTAAAAGTCTACTAATGTCTACTAATGATATTTGATATCCTTAATAAGCACTGTTAAACTTTTACAGAAGTTACTCGTTTTAGGCAGACACAATACGGACAAACCCACCAGCTGCTCCTTGAAAACTCTATACAGGGTGGCTATGAGTCAGAACCAACTCAATGACACTTAACAACAACAATTATGGATTCCTGGTGTGGCACTGTAGAATCAGCACTGGACTGCAAACCACAAAGATGGCAGTTCAAACCCACCAAATGCTCTTTGGAAACCCTATCTAGGGTGTCTATGAGTCAGAACCCACTCAAAAAACACTTAACAACAACAACAATTATAGTCTTTAATTCTCAGCATTTACTTTAAGAAATAATTTAAATTTTGGTTTCTGAAATGCCCTCTTTTCTTTCAACTGTCATGCTGGAATACAAAATGTTACTGAATTAAAGCAATACAGTGTACATGTTTGTGTACTGACTAAATAATACCTGATCTTTTTCCTAAGTATCGTTGAGGTATCTCAACGATAGAAATAGAAAACATCTGACAATCCCCAATTGCAATGCTCGCGTTTCTTTTGAACCATGTTAACCACCAAATGAAACTATGTTTCCATGTTTACTTTATCAAAATTTCCCAGGGTGCTAAGAAACTATATCAAGCTATGTCTGGGAAATGATGCAAACCAACAAAAAGGCAGCATAACAACTGTGATATCATTTGGAGGCCATCAGTTTGTCACAATGTAATAACAGTACCTTGTCATATGTGTCAGGTTGAGCATCTCCTATTTCTCTGCCATCCAATTCAGACACTTTAATTACATTTACCAAAGGCTGTGGGATGAAAGATTCCAGTGTCTGCCTGAGCCACCTTGATCTCAGATTATCTGATTCATTACAATGAAGATAACCTAAATATAAAGGATAAAAAAGCATTAAATTGAATGCCATGTAATTGTTAAATTTCCATTTTTTACCAAACACATTTTGAGAAAAAAGTCCATTCATTATAATTATGCAGAAATAGGGCTCAGAAATAAATATACTTTAAAAACAGAAATGAATATATATATATATATATATATCACAATCAGGCCTACACAGCCTCTCAGAGCTCTCAATTAAGTTTAAGTTGGTAAGTAAAAACCTATAGATACTTATGGATTTCAAAATTTGTGCTATACCAATACCTCAGAGACAGTTTTCCCCTTAAATCTTGAGCTTTTAAGAGTTGCAGTTATTGTCAATTCTAACTCATAGTGAACCCATATGCAAGAGCAAACTGTCCCAAGAGTTTCCTGGGTTCTAATCTTTACATTTCAGCAGAGCTTCCAAACTAAGAACAAACTAGGAAGAAGATATAGATGGCCCATTTGTGAGGGATTAGCACTGAAAACATTATGAATAGCAGTATAACATTGTCTAATATAGTACCAGATCACGAGCCTCTCATGTTGGAAGGCACTCAAAATATGACTGATAAACTGATGCCTCCTTAAAGTAGAGATGAACTTAATAAAGAGAATGAAGCAGAAGTTTCAAGGGCTTCATATGCTGATGTGACACAATTCAAAATGAGAAGAAAGAGCTGTAAATATCCATTAACAATCAAACATGGAATGTATGAAGTACGAATCTAGGAAAAATGGAATTCAACAAAAATGAAATGGAATACATAAAGAGTAATATCCTAGGTATTGTTAGTGAACTGAAATGGGCTGGTACTGACCATTCTGAACTGGTCAGTCATATGGTTTAGTATGCTGGAAATGCAAAATTCAAGAGGAATGATGGCACATTCATTGTCAAAAAGAATACTTGAAGACATCTTGAAGTGCAATGCTGAAGTGCAATGTGTGTCTAAAAGGGAGACCAAGTAATATAACTATTATTTAAATTTATGCATTAGTCATCAAAGCCAGTGATGAAACTAAAGAACTCTAATTACTGGTGATTAGAATGTAAAAGCTGGAAACAAAAAGGGAAGATCAATAGTTAGAAAATAAATAATGCTGGAAAACACATGATAGAATTATTCAAGACCAATGATTTCCTCAAAGTAAATACGTTTTTTAAAAAACATAAATGGTGACTATATACTTGGACCTCACTAGATGGAATACACAGAAATCAAATTAACTATATCTGTGGGAAGTAACAACCGAGACGCTCAGTATTATGAGCCAAAAGAAGACCATGGGCAGACTGTGAAACAGACCAGAAATTATTCATATACAAGTTCAGGCCAAAGCTGTAGAAAATTAAAACAAATCCATGAGAGCCAAAATGTGGTATTGAGTATCTCTCACCTGAAAGTAAAGACCATCTCATGAGCAGATTTGATGCTCTGAACACATGACTAAAGACCAAAGGATTTGTAGGCTGAAATCAAGATCAGGATATGAAGAAAGCTAAAGAGCTCCAATTACCTCATATGTACGTGAAAACTGAACAATGAATAAGGAAGACTGGAGAAGAATTGATGCAAATGAATTATAGTATTGGTGAAGAATATACTTTGTAATCCCCAAAAACATTCACCTTCTGAGCTGATCTGTCTGCCTTGAATTTAACTGTCCTAGTCAGCAGCCAGAAAGGAGCTCTGGTAGCGTAGTGGTTACGAATCGGGCTGCGAACCGCAAGGTCAGCAGTTCAAAACTACCAGCTGTTCCGTGGGAGAAAGATGAGGCTTTCTGCTCCCGTAAAGATTTACAGCCTCGGAAACCCTGTACAGGGTCGCTATGAGTCGGAACCGACTCCACGGCACATAACAACAACAACAACAACAACAACAGTCAGCAGCCAGAGTGTTCCTTGGAGGCCAGGATGGCCAAACTTCATCTGTCATACTTCGGACATATTGTCAGGAGGGATCAGGTGCTGGAGAAGGATATTGTGTTTGGTAAGGTGGAGGGTCAGAGAAAAAGAGAAAGACCCCCAACAAGATGGACTGACCAAGTGACAGCATCGATGGACTCAAGCGTGGCAATGATAGTGAGGTTGTCCCAGGATCGGGCAGTGTTTCGTTCTGCTGTGCATAAGGCCGCTATGGGTCGGTACTGACTTGATGGCACCTAACAACAACAACAGTCAGCACTGGACTGAGAATCCCAACGTAGACAGTTCAAGTCCATCAGCTGCTCCTCGGAAACCCTATACAGGGTCACTATGTGTTAGAACCAACTCGACAGCACTTACAAACAACAATTCTGTTTAGGCACTACAGGATAAGCACTGGACTGCTAACCATAAGGTCAGAAGTTCAAGCCCATCAACTGCTCCTTGGAAATCTTAGTGTCACTATGAGTTGGGACCTACTCGACAACATTTAACAACAACAACAACAACAACAACAGACGCTCTAGGGGTGCTGGTGTGGTGCTATAGGATAAGCAATGAACGGTTAACCTCAAGTTTGGCAGTTCAAGCCGAAAGCTGCTTCATGGGATGAAGATGAGACTTTCTACTCTCATAAAGATTTACAACCACAGAAACCCTATGCAGGATCGCTATGAGTTGATAGCAGTTAACAACAGCAGCAACAAGCAGATATACCCAGAAGCCTACGTTTTGACTGCATCTTGTTCTTTGGTTCATAATGGTAAATCCAAGACTCATCTTAGGTTACAATTTATTCCATAAAATCATCTACATTAGCTTCAGTCTTGCATAAAAGACTGATGGAAGTATCCACTCTTGGAGTTTACTGATCTTCATGAAACACTTTTGAAACATATTGAACTGAAAGCTTACTGAGGGTAAGATATTCACCTAAAATTGAAAATGCTAAACTATGTGAGATCCCAACTTCAGTAGCTATGGCACTCAGATTCTTCCTGAACCTCTCCTTATGTGTTTGTACCCTTTTCTCTGCCAGATTAAAGATAGACTAGACTTTTCCCATTTTAATCTTTTCTCCTTTAAATATTTTCCCTCTACTTCTCATTTTCAGTGATACCACTAAAATGTCAACATGCATACTTAAGGAACTCTAAAGTAAGTCAATCTTCACTCTCTTTCCTAAAAGATACATGAATATCATTTTAACACAGCCTCCCAATTATTGTGAATTGTTACAACAAATTACTTAACCTAAGAAAGCAAAGAGGCCATTTCCAGTTGTCAACCCTGGATGTCTGGGGGTGAGAGAAAAAGGACTGCATGGAACATCTGGGATCTGGACTGACCCAGGAAGTGAAACTAAGATTTCTAGAATACAGTTGGCATGTGGAGTGGGATTTATTACGCATTTGGCATAAGTGGTGGATGATCTCAGACTCCATGGACTGTATTTGCACAATTGAGCAGGATTAGCTAGTAAGAAGCTTGACAACACAATAGGTGTTGAAAAGCTGTTATCTTAGCCTGAGAGCACTGAAAAACAGCTAATAGAGAGAATGCAATACAGGGAAGCAAGCAAAAGCAAGGGGAAAAGAGAATTAAATAGTGGAAGGAGGAAAAGCAACTACTCTAAAAAACATCTGAGAGATTGCAGAGTTTAGAGGAGATAATAATCTGCTGAGCAAATAACCTGCTGACTCCTTCTTGTCTCCTAATTCTTATTGGTTGAAGTTTATTCTAAGAGATGATAACTCCCACACATTTGAGTTTGTTACCTGGCCCTCCATGCAGTTATTAAAGAAACCAGAGTCTCAAGTCCAAGTTCACAAGTATACAGGTGTGGTAACCTTGGCTAGTCAGTTGACAGCCACATGGAGGTTCCTCAAAGTGTGGCAGTGGTAACACTAATCAAACCAAAGCCACTGCCATTGGTTTTAACTATAGACTACAGCAAACAGTTATAATGTTTCTCTGGGTGTTAAAAAAGATAGGCCCAAAATAAAGTTCAAAGAATAATAATACAAGTTGGGACAACTTGTCATAATGATATTCCTGTGTCTTTTAGAAAGAATAACTCACAGTGACCCTTATAGTACAGAGCAGGGCTGGCTCAGAGTAGGGTTTCTAAGTACTGGCTCAGTCAGTATCATTTTTCTCCCATTGAGTAGCTGATAGGTTTGAACCACTGACCTTGCAGTTAGCAGGTCAATGCTTAAGTACGTTGCATGGTGAGGAGATAGTCTTGTCAACGGATGGTGCTGGTGGAACTGGAAATGGATATGCAAAAGACTGAAACAAGACTTTTACCTCATGCCATATACAAAAACCAACTCAGCATGGATTAAAGATCTAAATGTGAATCCCAGATTTATAAAGATTATCAATGGAAAAATAGGGACAAATTTAAGGACTCTAGTACAGGGCACACACAGACTACCAACATTGCGAAAATTGTACAAAATAAAGAAAACAAAATAGATGATTGGGACATACTAAAAACTGGAAACTTACGTGCATCAAAAGACTTCACCAAAAGAGTTAAAAGGGAGCCCACAGAATGGACAATATCTTTTGCAATAATATAACGGACAAGGGACTTACTTCCAAAATATATAGGAAACTACACTATGAGTCGGAACTGACTCCACGGCACATAACCACCACCACCACACCTCTACAAGAAAAAGACAAATAATCCAATTTAAAAAATGGGCAAAGGAGCCTTTTTTATGAAGATGGCGCCGAAAACGAAGGAAGCCCCTGCCCCTCCCAAAGCTGAAGTCAAAGCAAAGGTGTTGAAGGCCAAGAAGGCAGTGCTGAAAGGTGTCCACAGCTACACACAAAAAAAGATCTGCACGTCACCCACCTTCCAGCGGCCCAAGGCGCTGATGCTCTGGAGACAGCCCAAATATCCTCCAAAGAGCGCGCCCAGGAGAAACAAGCTTGACCACTGTGCCATCATCAAGTTCCCTCTGACTACTGAGTCAGCCATGAAGAAGATTGAAGATAGTAACACACTTGTGTTCATTGTGGATGTCAAGGCCAACAAGCACCAGATCAAACAGGCTGT